GCCCGGTGGCACCTTGAAGACCAACAAAGTTTAATTCCAGATATATGCTTTCGTGTGCACGCACACTGCTTGAGATACTTGCATAAGTGTGCAATGCACACAAAAGCTTATACGGTAGATCAGGTATGTCCAACAGGTAGATCGCGGAGGGGTCAGAGGTAGATCACCAGCCCCACTTGGTCTCACTAATGAGCAAGAGCGAAGTTTTAAAGATGGCGCAAGATCAGCCTGGATCAAGACTTGACCTACATTTAACACAAATAACTCTGAATAAAAGTTAAAGAAAGTTATTGAGACGGTTAAAGGAAGTTATAACTCAATAAAAAATAAAAAATGTTCGCAGTTCTTTCTGGATCTTCGTTTCCCTGTTTTGTTTTTGCTTATTTTGCCTACCAGTAAATGACAGAAGGTGCATTATAAATGGGAGGGGGGCGGTGGAACCCAACTTTACTGGGTTAAAATCTAATTTGAAACTTTATTTTCATGGAGGTAGATCACCGGCACTTTTGGCTGGAAAAAATAGATTCCTACCTGTTCGAAGTTGGACATGCCTGCGGTAGATGCTTTTTTCAATCATTTTAAAACATTTTTAAAGGCCTGTGCTCCTTTAAGTAGATCTATTCTCTCTTGCTCCGGATTGCAGGACTAGATCTAATGGGTGGAAATTACAAGGAAGTCGTTACCGGCTAAATATCAAGAGAAACTTCCTAACTTTAAGTAGAGTGGGATGCTGTAGTTGACTAATTCTTGCACTGAGCAAGGGGGTTGGAGTAGGTGACCTCTAGGATCCCTTCTAACGCTGTGTCAAGAAACTGGTCTCCTTTAAGAGAGTTTCTCTGTCTAAGTCTTAGCTATCTTGACTGCAGAAGTCACCACCCCCACCCACTGGCTTGTTGTCAGCAGCAGCTGAGAACTATCATCTAAAATGGTTGACAGCTTGCAGTTTAGAGATCTATCCTGGTAACAGCTTTCTATGGGCCAAATGGCTTTTCTTTCTGCACTGAGAACTTCAGCCCCAGAAGGAAAGAAAATTGCCCTGCAAGTAGGGCTGCCAAGCCTCGGCGGGGGATCCGCACATCTTCACAGGATCCCTGCCGTGGGGGACAGCGATACGCATTGCACCGCTGTCGCCAGGATGTGACGCTATTGAAAACCTAATAAAAATATATTAACGGGGAAAAAAGACACCTGCTATTCAGCCCCCCTCAAAACCCTGACAATGAACAGACTAGGATCACGGCCACACAAGAGTACAGAGAAATGACAATACCGTGTACGAAATAACAACTAGTACAAGTAAAGATTTTTCAAAGTTTATGTGTAAATATTGTACTGAATAAAGTCTATACTAGCTCTACGTCTCTGTATTACAATATCAATATGAACAAATGCACGACACTCTAACACTTCATACAAACAATTCAAATACAAAGGATAATCGGTTATTACAAAGTTCATTAAGCTCCAAATTTTTCCAAAACGATCCTTCTTTCACCCCCTGAATCATGATGTGTCTCTCATATTTTCCAATTGGGTATAGTGTTCTTACTAGATTACTCTAACAATTATCAGAAATAGTCCTCGATTCCACAGGTATAACCAATGAACCAAATCAGAAGAAGTCTCTCTAAAAGGGACTCGCACCACTTTATACACACACACACACACACACACACACACGGCTCTTTTTGTAGCAGGAACTCCTTTGCATATTAGGCGACACCCCCCCTAATGTAGCCAATCCTCCAAGACCTTACAGAGCTCTTCTTACAGGGGCTACTGTAAGCTCTTGGAGGATTAGCTACATTAGGGGTGTGTCGCCTAATATGCAAAGGAGTTCCTGCTACAAAGAGCCCTACCACCACCCCTATCTATAGGGGGGGGGCCCTACACACACACACAGAATCAGCCAATAGATAATGACTACCAAAGCACACCTCACAATATCAAATCTATAGGAAAAACATTTACAATAATACATACAGAACTGGAAAAAAACATGCCAGTTATCATAAAACTGAAGATGTCTGAAGATATCTCAAAGTTGAACTTGATTCATCCAATCTGCAATCCGACCCAAACCGGCTGCTTGGTGGTACAGTTTAAAGTTAGGTACTGCTAAACCTCCTCTTTTTTCTAATCCTGTAATAATTTAAATCTAATTCTTAGTTTTTTGCCATTCCATATAAATATATTTATTTGTTTCTGCCATTCTGCCTAAGTCTTTGTATATTGATCGGTATCAACTGAAAGAGAAAATTTATTTTGGCAATCCATTCATTTTTATTGCAGAGATTACTCCCAGCCGTGATCATTCCCGTTCGGATCATCTTTCCAAATCTGTTTGTATCTTTCGTCCAAAAGCATGTGGGTTTGATTGAGGCTTTTCCTCCATCACTGGAGCTATTTATTTTTTTATTTATCTATTTTATCCGGAGCTCATATGGGGAGAGGCAGTTTCGTAAGTATGCTGGCCCCTGGCCATATAGGGCTTTAAAGGTAAGCACCAGCACCTTGAAACGGATCTGGAATTCAATAGGCAGCCAGGGCAGTTCACGCAGCACCGGGTGGATACGTGCCCGCACAGGCGTCGCCATCAACACCCATGCTGCCGCGTTCTGCACTAGCTGCAACTACTGAAGCAGAGTCAACGGCAGCCCTACATAGAAAGAGTTACAGTAATCCAGTCTGGAAGTGACCATTGCACAGTAAGATATGGGGCTAACTGCCTGATCTGCCTCAGATAGAAAAAGGCAGACCTGGCAGTAGAGGTATACAGGAACATCCCCAGACTCTTCACACTCGAGGTAAGAGAGCCAGTTTGGTGTAGTGGTTAAGTGCGCGGACTCTAATCTGGGAGAACTGGGTTTGATTCCCCACTCCTCCACTTGCACCTGGCTGGATGGCCTTGGGCAAGCCGTAGTTCTGATAAGAGCTGTTTTTGAAAAAAGAGCAGTTTCTGTCAAGAGCTCTCTCAGCCCCACCTACCTCACAGGGTGTCAGTTGTGGGGAGGGGAAGGGAAAGGAGTTTGTAAGCCACTCTGAGACATCTTTGGGTAGTGAAGGGTGGGGTATAAATCCATCTCTTCTGCAGCAAAAGAGGGGGGGAGAACCAGAAGAAATTGCAGAAGCATTGTATAAGGAAAAGAGAAAGGCAGGTAGAGGTCTAGCGGGCAAGGTATATAAAAGAATGACCGTTGACGAGGAATCTATACTTAAAAGTGTTCAGGAGAAATGGCATAAAGAAGGATTAACCTCAGAAACAACCCTAAAAAAACTAATGACTGGGATTAAAAAGATTAAATTTGATAAATTTAGAGAAATGGAGTTGAAATGCTTCACTAAATGGTACTGGACGCCAGCGCAATTAGCTAATATGATACCCGGGGTGAGTTCGAACTGTTGGCATTGCAACCAGGTAAAAGGCTGGTACTCACATATGTGGTGGGAATGTGCCGAAGTACAGGAGTTTTGGAAGAAAATATTGGACAGGGTAAAGGATAAAATAGGAGTATCAATACCAATAGATATCAATTTAATAACATTAGGCACTATGAAGAGCGAAACAGTAGAACTTAAATATCGAGAGGTATTCAAGGCAATGATATTAGCAGGGAAAGCAGTTATAGTATTAGGATGGAAAGACAAGAACAAGTGGACTATGGAGAATTGGAATAACTATCTTTTTGAATACATCCAATCAGATATCGTTTCCCTGATGATGGAGGAGAAAACCTGGGAAGAGAAGAAGAGGAAGACAAAAGAAAAATGGTCGCCATACTTTGAATGGATCAGAGAGGATAAAGCCGAGAAGGATACTCAATGGAAACTTTGGACTTTGTGCCCGTGGCTGAAGCAATGAAGGAAGAAGAAAGGGGAGGGAGGACTGGGGGAGGGAAGGGGGAAGGGGGGGAAAAAAGGGGGGAAATATTTGTACAAGGATGAAATGTTGACTGTGAGATATTGGGTTAAAATAAAAAGACATTTCACAAAAAAAAATCAATCTCTTCTTAGAATCATAGAATGTTAGAGTTGGAAGGGACCTTGCAGGTCATCTAGTCCAACCCCCTGCACTCTGCAGGAGCATAGCTGAAAGATAGCCCTACATACCTACAACATAACCAAAAGATGGTCGTCCAGCCTCCGCTTGAAAACGTCCAGCGAAGGAGCATCCACCACCTCCCGAGGCAGACTGTTCCTCTGCTCAACCACTGCTCAACCACGTCTAGGCACAATGGGGCCCCATCGAAGGTTGGGAACCTGATCCCCTGACCTAATCCCCCGCGACTCAGGTACAGGACCTCCGTCTTAGATGGATCTAACTTCAGTCGGCTCTGTCGCAACCATCCAGCCACAGCCTGTCACCCCTTGTCAAGATGTCCTTGGGCCATGTCTGTGTGGCCGTCCATCAGTAGATAGAGCTGGGTGTCATCCGCATCCTGGTGACAACCCGACCCATATCTCTGGATAATCTGGGCAAGAGGGCGCATATAGATACTGAACAGCATGGGGGAGAGAATTGCTCCCTGCAGAAGACCACATTCTAGTGGGTGCCGCTGGGATAACTCCCCCACAAGTGCCACCCTCTGTCCCCGACCCTGAAGGAAGGAGGCTAGCAACTGCAAGGTAAGCCCCCGTATCCCATTGTCGGTGAGGTGGTGGGTTAGCACCTCATGGTGTTAACTCCACCAGGGCGACCTGTTGGAGTCTGAAGGCCGGAAGGGGGAAGCATGCTCTCTGCATCTCTGGTGGGTGGCCATGTTAATCTGTAGAAGCAGAGCAGAATTCAAGACTGGTAGCTCCTTCAAGGGGGGGTTGCCAAAAAGGGCCATGTGGAGTCAGGATGCAGAGGAGCCATAAGGTCTGATGGATCTTTGTCTAATTTCTGCCTGACCGAGTGAGCTTTGACACATGAAAGCTTCTACTCTGGGAAATTTCCTTGGTCATTCAGATGCTACCTCTCCACCTTCCTATTTCCTTCCGGAGGTCCTTTTGCCTACTTAGGGTGGGAAGAATGGAGCTGGATCAGCTTGGATGCAAATAGAGACCCGTGGCCTTCTTTCACCCTGCTGGGGCCCGGCTCTGAGCATTTAAAAGGTTTTCCCCCTCTGTGGATTCTTTGGTGCAATTGAAGAGTGCCATTTTGACTGAATCTCTTTCCACACCTGGGGCATTCAAAAGGTTTCTCCCCTGTGGGGGTTCTTTGATGCTGATGAAGATTGCCACTCTGACTGAATCTCTTTCCACACTCTGAGCATTCAAAAGCTTTCTCCCCTCTGTGAATTCTTAGATGCTTTTGGAGATTGCCACTTGTATTGAATCTCTTTCCACACTCTGGGCATTCAAAAGGTCTCTCCCCTGTGTGGATTCTTTGGTGCAGTTGAAGAGTGCCATTCTGACTGAATCTCTTTCCGCACTCTTGGCATTCAAAAGGCTTCTCCCCTGTGTGGGTTCTTTGATGCTTTTGAAGATTGCCACTTGTATTGAATCTCTTTCCACACTCTGAGCATTCAAAAGGTTTCTCCCCTGTGTGGGTTCTTTGATGCTTTTGAAGATTGCCACTCTGACTGAATCTCTTTCCACACTCTGAGCATTCAAAAGGTTTCTCCCCTCTGTGCATTCTTTGATGCTTTTGAAGGCTGCCACTTGTACTGAATCTCTTTCCACACTCTGAGCATTCAAAAGGTTTCTCCCCTGTGTGAGTTCTTTGATGCTTTTGAAGATTGCCCCTATGACTAAATCTCCTTCCGCACTCCGGGCATTCAAAAGGTTTCTCCCCTGTGTGAGTTCTTTGATGCTTTTGAAGATTGCCACTCTGACTGAATCTCTTTCCACACTCTGAACACTCAAAAGGTTTCTCCCCTCTGTGCATTCTTTGATGCTGATGAAGAACACCACTCCTACTGAATTTCTTTCCACATTCTGAGCATTCAAAAGGTTTCTCCCCTGTGTGTGTTCTTTGATGCTTTTGAAGATTGCTACTCTGACTGAATCTCTTTCCACACTCTGAGCATTCAAAGGGTTTCTCCCCTGTGTGGGTTCTTTGATGCCCTTGAAGACTGCCACACTGAATGAATCTCTTTCCACATTCTGAGCATTTAAAAGGTTTCTCCCCTGTGTGTATTCTTTGATGCTTTTGAAGAATGCCACTCTGACTGAATCTCTTTCCACACTCGGAGCATTCAAAAGCTTTCTCCCCTGTGTGGGTTCTTTGGTGCTTTTGAAGATTTCCACTCTGACCGAATCTTTTCCCACACTCTGAGCATTCAAAAGGTTTCTCTCCTGTGTGGGTGCTGTGATGCTTTTGAAGACTGTCACTCTGACTGAATCTCTTTCCACACTCGGAGCATTCAAAAGGTTTCTCCCCTGAGTGGGTTCTTTGGTGCTTTTGAAGATTGACATTCTGACTGAATCTCTTTCCACACACTGAGCATTCAAAAGGTTTCTCTCCTGTGTGGGTGCCATGATGCTTTTGAAGACTGTCACTCTGACTGAATCTCTTTCCACACTCTGAGCATTCAAAAGGTTTCTCCCCTGTGTGGGTTCTTTGATGCTTTTGAAGATTGCTACTCTGACTGAATCTTTTTCCACACTTTAAGCATTCAAAAGGTTTCTCCCCTGTGTGGGTTCTTTGATGCTTTTGAAGACTGGAATTCATACTGAATTTCTTTCCACACTCTAAGCATTCAAAAGGTTTCTCCCCTGTATGAGTTCTTCGGTGCACTTGAAGATTGCCACTCCTACTGAATCTCTTTCCACACTCTGAGCATTCAAAAGGCTTCTCCCCGGTGTGGGTTCTTTGGTGCTTTTGTAGACTGGAATTCATACTGAATTTCTTTCCGCACCCTGAACATTCAAAAAGCTTCTGTACTGCATGTATTTTTTTGTGTACAAGAAGCTGTGGTCTGTATCTGAAGTCCTTTCCACAGTAACAGCATTTACATGGCTTCATTATAATGTGGCTTGGAAAACATACATTACCCTTTCTTCCACTGAAGAACGTCATTCTGCTCTTGGAACAGATAAATGGCTTCACTCCTGAATGAGTCCATTGGAGACGGTTGCGGACTTGGATTTCGTGGAAGCCCCCTTCTTGGCGAGGAATGGACTTTACCCACCTCTTCACCGTACAGCTTCCTTCCTGCTCCTGTGGTCCATCTTTATTCCCAAAGTTTCCTTCAGCCTGGTCATTCTTGGCTTTTTCCAATGAGAACCGCTGGAATTCCGCAACTGATTCCTCGACATCTCCTGCTGGAATAAAGAGGGAGATCCAATCACCACTCACAGAAGGAGCCTAGCCACCAATCAGGAACTCCTGATTAATGAGTGTGCATTTTACCTCCTGAGCAGTTGGTCAAAACGTTTCACTGGCCAGCCTTTCCAGTAGAGCTTTTTCTATATTGTGACTGTTCCTCCCCTCCACAAAACTCCCGAAATGTACTTTAATGGAAAAGCTGGCAAACATCTGTTTCTCTGCCTTTCCCATTTGCCTTGTCATGGAGATCTTTTTTTTTTTTAATTTTATTTTTCCAATTTTCCACACACAAAACATTTCAATTTCTCAGATTACATAAATTTTTAGAGTTCTTAACACAGTTTGCAAGTCTTATACGTCTTATTACATAATTGTTTATTCGACCATTTCATCTTTTATCCATTTATATACCCTTATCCATCTGTTATTCAGTATATTTTGATCTTTACCTTGAAGAATTAAACTCAGACCGTCCATTTGTGCCAATTCTAAGATTTTTGATATTAGGTCCTCTTTAGAGGGTATTTTATCTTTCTTCCAGTTTTTGACCACAAGAATTCGTGCCGCCGTTATAATATATACTATTAGATATATGCCTTGTTTTCCATAGCCTTTTGGGACCATATTCAATAAATAAATTTCTGGAATTAACTCAACTTCTACATTCAATATTTCTACAATAATTTTATATACCATTTTACAGTATTTTTGAATTTCACTACATTTCCACCACATGTGGTAGAAGGTCCCCACATTTGCTTTACATTTCCAACATGTGTTGGATGTTTGTGGATAGCATTTTGCAATTTTATCTGGGGACCAATACCACCTATGGAACATTTTGTAAATATTTTCTTTGTAGGAAATGGCCCTCATAAATTTAACAGATTTCCATATTGTGTCCCATTGTTCAAATTCCATCTCTTTTCCCATGTCCTGCATCCACAAGATCATGACAGCTTTAACATTTTCATCTAACTCGTAGTTGTCTAGTAAAAACCTATACAACTTCTGAATTAGCTTGTCACTGGATGATAGCCAAATATTGTCCAGTTGGTTATTTTTATCCTCAAGTCCTCTTATTTTATCTTTACCGTATCTATCTTGTAGGAGGTTTCGTTCCCACCATGATAAACTAATTTGATGTTCACGATTCAGTTTCTCTTCTGTTTTTATATTATCGTTTCTTTCTAATAGTATGTTGTAGTTAACTATCTTATTTGATGACAAAAGTGAAGGTTTCATGAAAGCTTCCAGTGGTGACACCCATCTTGGTACTTTTCTATAAAATCTCCCTTTTATATCACTCCAAACCTTATTTAATGCTCCTCTTAGTACATGACGATTAAAGATTTTATGATTTTTTTTCCTTTTCGAACCATACGTACGCGTGCCAGCCCATGGAAAGATCATGACCTTCTGAGGCCAATGTTCTGGTATCTTCCAGTATTTCATCATCAAAAGATCTCCATGACTACTGGATATTACTGGATAGTCATGGAGATCTTTTGATGATGAAATACAAAAAGTGATCGTAATTTCTAGTCCTGGGATTGTACGGAGTTTCCATCCAGGTGTGATGAGAGAGAAGAGGAGCTGGTCTTCAGACTCCAATAACACGTGTCTCCTGGGGTAGGGGAGAAGTCAGGAACTCAGCACGCGAGCCCCACAGGTCTAAGGGAACTCCCATAGGAATTCCAGTTGTTGTAGGAGGGAGGGGAGGCCTGGAGGCATTCAACTGACCACGGTAGGAAAAGGTTGATGGCATCTGACTTATACAGCAAAGCTGTTCTTAAGTAAATACCTCATCTTTCCCTGGGATATCTGGTATTTAAGGACAGTGCAGCCCTAAAGAGACCAGTTTGGTGTAGTGGTTAGGAGCACAGACTCTAATCTGGGAGACCCAGGTTTGATTCCCCACTCCTCCACATGCCACTGTTCGTATGACCTTGGGTCAGTCACAAGTTCTTTCAGAGCTGTTCTCTCAAAGACAATTCTCAAGAGAGCTCTCTCAGCCCCACCCACCTCACAGGGTGTCTGTTGTTGGGAGGGGAAGGGAAAGGAGTTTGTAAGCTGCTCTGAGACTCCTTTGGGACTGGGTAGTGAAGTGCAGGGTATATTTCCAATCTCTTCTTCTTCTTCTAAAAGAGCCACAGCTGAGCTCAGCCCCAGGAAGAATTCCCAAGATCTCGGGCCCCAAAAGGCTTCCCTCCTTACCCAAAGGGCTTTATCATTCTACCCAACTAAGAGTTTGTAAGAAGTGAAGCAGAAATCCACCATGGCTATTCATTGCCCATTCCGTTGACATAAAGATGAAGCAGACTCACTCACAACCAGTTCACGCGGGAAGGAAACATTCTGTTGAGATCCTCTTGAGGAACTCTCCAGCTTTTCATCTGTCTCCACTGAAGTCTCTTGCACACCCACACCTTCTTTGGGGGAGAGAGAGAGAAAAGAGGAGGACGAGTGACCCAAGGCCTTTGCCTGTCTCCACCTCAGGCCGTGACACCCACATGCTGGCCACATACTAACAATAATTTAAGGAAATAGATGAATAAATATAAATTGTATATGTAAGATAAAAGGTAAAGGTTCCCTTGCTCGAAAGCCAGTCAAATCCGACTCTAGGGTTGCGGTGCTCATCTCCATTTCCAAGACGTAGAGCCAGCGCTGTCCTAAGATGTTTCCGTGGTCATGTGGCTGGCAAGACTAAACACCAAGGCGCACAGAACGCTGTTACCTTCCCACCGAAGTGGTTCCTATTTATCTACTTGCAATTTCTTACTTTCGAACTGCTAGACTGGCAGGAGCTGGAACTAGAGACGGGAGCTCACGCTGTCATGCGGCACCCGGGTCTCGAACTGCTGAACTACCGACCTTCCACAGCCTGCAGTTCAGCGTCTTAACCACTTGAGCCACCGCAGCTCCTAAATCGTATATGACTTAACATCAAATAAGGCTCCAAATATTTCTCAAATATACAATAGTATTCAATACATGAAATACAAGAAATACAAAAAAAATGCAATAGGCTAGGGATTGAAAGCAATATCTAACATTTACTATTTAACACTCCCAAAAGAAAGACCTCACAAATTCCAATTTCACTGGACTGAACAACGTAATCTTCAAATGTCCATAAAGCAAATAAATCCACTTCTTAAGACTTAAGATACACCATGTAAAGTACGCTGCAATCAGCGAGCAGATCCAGTCCTTAGGACTCGAGACAAATAATAAGAAATAAGCTGCAGTCAACTCATCCTCCAGATTAATCAACGAGTTTTCGATCCCTTCACCAGGACTGTTGATGTTGCTTTACAAAGTTTATCTTAAGTCTTAAGAAGTGGATTCACTTACTTTATGGACATCTGGAGATTACGTTTTTCAGTCCAGTGAAACTGGAATTTGTGAAGTCTCTCTTTTGGGAGTGTTAAATAATACATGTTAGATATTGCTTTCAATCCCCAGCCTATCTATTGTATTGTTTTGGATTTCCTGTATTTCATGTATTGAATACTACTGTATATTTGAGAAATATTTGGAGACTTATTTGATGTTATCTCATGCTGGCCACAGCATTAGCCACAGTTGCCTCGGACCAGCCAGGTGTGTTGGCTGCTTTCACTGCCACCTCAGCTCCTGGAGTCATCCAGAGGGTGTTAAGTACAGGGCCAGGCCCCAAAACGACATACTACTCTTTGATATTTTGATTCACACAACATCACAATGGCAGCAATTCACACCTTTGGCACCTAAGACAGATCCTTACCCAGAGAGGCCACGCTCCTATAGTTCTCCAGCATTACTTCCCGGTAGAGCACTCTTTGGTCCGGATCCAGCAGGGCCCACTCAGCCTCGGTGAAATACACGGCCACCTCCTCAAAGGAAAACGGAAACTAAAAAAGAAAAAGCAGATTTCTTTGTCAGAGATTGAGCCACACAAGACTGGACTCAAGAAACGGGCATCCTGGGAGAGTGGAGGATGGAGAGCAGGGGTCATTTCCTGCAGGAGCGCACAGGAGCGGAGCTCCGGCAGTAAACAGCCCAGGGGGCGGGCACATGCAACAAGCCCCGCCCCCTGCTCCCAGCAGCCCTCAGTCAGAGCAAGAAGCAGCCAGGTAAGTTGCAGAGCCCCCCCTCCCCAGCCCGCCTTAGGTACAAGCTCTTTCTCCTCTGTGAGGGCAGATCTGTGCATTCCCCCCCCCAGAAATACCAGTGCCATCAGGAGGTCCAGCAGTGGGGCCAGGACATTAGAAGCCCTCCCACTGTTGACCCCCCCCCCAAGCACCAAGAAGACAGAGCATCACTTGCCCCAGAGCCCCTAGCTATACCTTGTGGCTAATAGCCACTGATGGACCTCTGCTCCATATGCTTATCTAATTCCCTTTTGAAGCCGTCCATGCTTGTAGCACCCACCACTTCCTGTGGCAGTGAATTCCATGTGTTAATCACTCTTTGGGTGAAGAAGTACTTCCTTTTATCCGTTCTAACCCGACCGCTCTGCAGTTTCATGGAGTGCCCACGAGTTCTTGTATTGTGAGAAAGGGAGAAAAGTACCTCTTTCTTTACCTGCTCTTTCCCATGCATAATCTTATAAACCTCGATCATGTCACCCCTCAGTCGTCTTTTCTCCAAGCTAAAGAGCCCTAAGCGCTTTAACCTTTCCTCATAGGGAAAGTGTTCCAACCCTTTTATCATTCGAGTTGCCCTTTTCTGCACTTTTTCCAAAGCTATAATATCCTTTTTAAGGTGTGGTGCCCAGAACTGCACACAGTATTCCAAATGAGGTCTCACCATTGATTTATATAGGGGCATTATTATATTGGCTGATCTGTTTTCAATACCCTTCCTAATAATCCCCAGCATAGCATTGGCCTTCTTTATTGCAGTCACACACTGTCTCGACATTTTCAGTGAGTTATCCACTACAACTCCAAGATCTCTCTCTTGCTCAGTCTCTGCCAGTTCAGACCCCATCAATGTGTATTTATATTTAGGATTTTTGGCTCCAATGTGCATCACCTTGCACTTGGCCACATTGAACCCCATTTGCCATGTTGACGCCCACTCGCCCATCCTTGACAGATCCCCTTGGAGTGCCTCACAATCCTCACTGGTTTTCACCACCCTGAACAACTTTGTATCATCCGCAAATTTAGCCACTTCACTGCTTACTCCCATCTCCAAATCATTAATGAACAAGTTAAAAAGCAGTGGACCAAGTACTGATCCCTGCGGTACCCCACTGCTTACCACCCTCCACTGAGAAAATTGCCCACCTACACTCACTCTCTGTTTTCTATGAACTAGCCAGTTTTTGATCCATAAAAGGACTTGTCCTTCTATCCCATGATTTTTGAGCTTACTTAGGAGCCTTTGATGAGGAACTTTATCAAAAGCTTTCTGGAAGTCAAGGTAAATAATATCTATTGGATCCCCCTTGTCCACATGTTTGTTCACCCCCTCAAAGAACACTAACAGGTTAGTGAGACAAGATCTTCCCTTACAGAAACCGTGCTGAGTCTGCCTCAATAGGTTTTGTTCATCTATGTGCCTACTAATTCTTTCCTTAATAATGGTTTCCACCAATTTACCCGGTATCGACGTCAGACTGACTGGCCTGTAATTTCCCGGATCTCCTCTGGAACCCTTTTTAAAGATGGGAGTGACATTAGCTACCTTCCAATCCTCAGGAATGGAGGCAGATTTTAAGGAAAGATTACATATCTTTGTCAGGAGATCTACAAGTTCACATTTGAGTTCTTTCAGAACTCTCGGATGTATGCCATCTGGGCCTGGTGATTTTTCAGTTTTTAAGTTGTCTATCAGTTTTAGGACCTCCTCTCTCGTCACCTCAATCTGACTCAGGTCTTTCAACACCCCTCCTGAAATCAGTGGTTCTGGAGTGGGCAAGCACTTCTCATCTTCCACAGTGAAGACGGAGGCAAAAAATGCATTTAGCTTCTCAGCCATTTCCCTATCATCCTTCAATACTCCTTTTACCCCTTGGTCGTCCAAGGGCCCCACTGCCTCCCTGGCTGGTTTCCTGTTTCTAATGTATTTGAAGAAAGTTTTATTGTTGGTTTTTACGTTTTTTGCTATATGCTCCTCATATTCCCTTTTTGCCTGCCTGACCTCAGACTTGCATTTTATTTGCCATAGCCTGTGTTCCTGCACCTCTTTTTCTACGAAATGACCCCTGATGGAGAGTTTGGTGGGGGAAGAGGGCGTGGCGTTTACAGCATCTCTTGCTCGGACACCTCAGAAACCACTGCAGGAGCAAAAGCCCCCCTGGGAAAGGAGGGGGAACTCAGGTGGTCCCCTGCACATCTCCCCTACCTGGACTGCAGGGGCAGCAGCTGTTTTTACTCCTCCAGAAAGATGACGACTCAACACTGTCTCTTCACTGCCTGGGAGGGAGAGAACGTTGGAAGAAAGGGTCTGAGCCTAGACTTCGCATTTTCTTTGCTTGTGCATATCCTGCTTCATGCACCCCTCTTCCCAGGGCTGTGAAACCTTGCCCTGTCTACACTCAACAAAATGTGTAACAATTTCTGAGTAAAGTTTAAGGAGAGATGAAAGAGAAGCTCCAGGTTCCTATGAGCCACAAGGGGAGGGGGGGGGTACAAACCCTGCCACCACATTTCAGACTTCTATGACACTTGAAATTCATCCCGTGAACTGCAAAGCTCAAAACGGTGGCAGCATCCCTGCTCAGTCAGGCCAAAGGCCCAGGAGCGCCAATCTCCCACTGGCTGGGCCCTCCCATGTGCCTTTGAGTTCAGGCTTCCGGGAGAAGGGGGGGGGTGGCCAAAGAAATGAGGTCAAACGATACATCACAATCACCCCTGTCCAAAAACCCAGAGGTGACATTAGCACAGCTGAGAACTCGAGGGTAATATCAAGCGGTTTCCAGAGTGTCTGCTGAGGCTCTGACGTCACGTCAAGATTTTCAGCAGGTTGAGACCTCACTGTGACATCACATCCACACCGGGCCCCACCTCCAAAGATCCCAGGGGTGCCAGGTCAACTTTTGGTTTTTTTGAGCCACCTCTAACAGAAGTTAGGTGACCGCTGGTGACTGACCCTATGGGAGGCCTGGAGAACATTCAGAGAGGTGGCTGAATAACGCCTGCCCCCACCTCCTGCCTCCGGTATTGCAAGGAGGTCTCCCATCCAAGTACTTGCCAGAGTTGACCCTGCTTAGCTTCCGAGGTCTGACTTGCCTGGGCTATCCAGGTCAGGGCGTGAGATAGTAATATCTTCGTTAACACATGGAATTCACTTCTGCAAGAAGTAGCGGCGCCTACAAGCCTAGATAGTTTCAAGAGGACTGAATAAACATCTGGAGCAGAGGTCCACGAGTGGCTCTTAGCCACAAGATAAAGATGGAACTCTATGTGAAGGGCAGTGATTCCCTGTATTCTTGGTACTTGTGGGGCAACAGCAGGAGGACTTTAGGAGCTCTGGCCCTGCTGCTGGACCTCTTGATGGCACCTGGGTTTTAGCGTGTCACAGAGTCTTGGATCGGATGGGCCATTGGCCTGATCCAACATGGCTTCTCTTATATTCTCCTGTGCTCCTATGAGAAAGGAATTGCCCTCCATGAATCTGTAGAATTCCCCCTTCAAGGGAGTGGCCACCATTACACACTGGCCTGATCCAACATGGCTTCTCTGATATTCTCCTGTGTTCCTATGAGACTGAAATTGCCCTCCATGAATCTGTATAATTCCCCCTTCAAGGGAGTGGCCACCGTTACATCCTGTGGCACTGAGTCTCAGCAGTCCACTCTGTGTGGTGTGCAGAAATATCTCTTTTTTCTCCTGTCCTGAACCTTCTGTCCAACAACTTCAGTGTGCCCAAATCTGGGCACGAGGCACCCTTACCATGTGAGAGGGCATCTTGGGAACACTCCTGGGCCTTCTGCTCTTCCTCCCAAGGAGATCCTTCCTCCTCAGAGAACTTCAATCCCATCTTCACAGACGGTCCCCACATCTGAAACTGCAGGAAGGGATACAGGTTAGAGGAGGAATACGAAACACCAAGGAGACGGATCTTGTCCCCGCGTCCATCATCAGCGTGGTGTGACCTTGGGCCAGTCAAAAGTTCTCCCAGAGCTGTTATCTCAAAGGCAGCTATTGAGAGAGGAAGGGAAAGGTATTGTAAGCCGCTCTGAGACTCCTTTGAGTAGTGAAAGGCAGGGTAGAAATCCAATCTCTCCTTCTTCTTCTTCTAAAGACGAATGAGACGGATCTTGCCCCTGCCCATCCTCACCCCTGCATTGATCAATACAGCTGCTTAAACCACAGCAGTAAGAATCAAGGTTGCGGGTTTCTATCAACCCCGGTGAAGTGTCTGGAGGGACACATATCGGACAGGGGGCCTTAGGCTGTCAAAGGTCACAGCTAGAACGGACGGCATGAAGCTCCCTCACCTGCCCTGCCTGCCGCATGTCCTCTGCCCAACTCAGGAGGAAGCCCTCGGCCAGGGACACCGCCTGGGAACTGGTCTCCGGCCCACATCCTCTGACCCAGCGCTGCATTTCCTCGGGCAGGACGGCCAGGAACTGCTCCAGGATCACCAGGTCCAGGATCTGCTTCTTGGAGCGCCTCTCCGGCTCCAGCCAGCGCTTGCAGAGTCCGTGGAGCTGGCTGCAAACCTCTCGGGGCCCAGCCGCCTCCTGGTAGCAGAACTGCCGGAAACGCTGGCGATGCTCCTCTGGGATCCCCGTCTCCTGAGGCAGGACCTCTGGCACCGCTCTCTCCCGGAGCTCAGCACCACTCCCCGCCTGGATCTCTTTCCTTGCTGTCTTGTCGATTCCTGGTCCTTCTGGGTCCTGCTCCTCCATCTCCTTCCCCATCTATTGGGCTGCCTCTGATTGCAAAAAGATGCCTCTACTTACTTGGTATGAAGAGGGAGAGGGGAATACATCAAAAAGGCAGAAAGGAACCTAAAGAAGATGGAGCAACATCATCGACCCTGGTCAGGAAGACACCGCCAGGATTGCCCTGCAGAATTGGAGGGAGGGGCCTTGTTATGGTTTGCGGATCAGGGTTCATGTCCTTGTGCTACATTAACTATTGTAGGCGGGTATGAACTATTCTAGAAATCTGCCAAGGAGGCTCACCGTAGTCTCCAGGTCCTGATGGCACACACCCGAGGGTTATTAAGGATGTGAGATACTTGATCCACTGATGCGTAGATGTAACCTATCACGAAATTTGGCTGCTGTACCACAAGACTGGAGAGTAGCAAATGTTACACCAATTTTTAAATATGGATCCAGAGGGGAACCAGGAAATTACAGGCCAGTCAGCCTCACATCTGTCCCAGGCGTATTAGTGGAATCTGTAATCAAAAACAGAATCAATTGTTAGGCACATCGAAGGACAAAGCCTGCTGAGGGAAAATCAGCACGGCTTCTGCACAGGGGTGTCCTGCCGCAACAGAGGGTGGGCAGAGAGATTTTTTTCTCCCTCTCCCAAAAAACTAGAACTGGAGGTCATCCAATGAAGCTGATGGGCAGTACGTTCAAGATAAGACGAAATGAAATAGTTTTGTACACAGAGGGTGCGTTCAGACGGGGCATTTCAGACGGTGCATTTCAGACGGTATAGGAGCCGGTTGGAATCGGTGTACTTACCGGCATTCACACAGCGAACATCTGCCTTCCGTCCCTAACCGTTGCAAAGAGCTTTAAACCGTTGTATTCTGCCACTAGGTCCCCAAGTGGTGGTATCCTTTTTTTAAAAAAATTAAACTTTTTATTAAAAGGATATAACAACTTTATCAAAATTTTGATCCACAACATTTCAAATATATCCATTTTCTAATTTTCCTCCTTCCCTCCCCCCTTGCTTGGCTTCCCACAGTGCGATTTCCCCTTATTTCCCTTTCTTTCCCTCAGTGTAAATTCCCTCTTTCAATTCATCTCATTAGGTAACATTACTTCATAAACATTTCAAATATTCTATTTTCTGAATTCCACTCTAATAACTCTCAAAACCTATTAAGGTATTTTTTTACATCCCATCTTTGTTCAATATAATCTTTAAAGTCTTTCCAATCTTCATAAAATTCTTCATCTTCTTTATTGTTCAATTTTCTTGTCAATTTATCCATTTCTGCCATGAATAGTACCTTTTTTAACCAATCCCAAATCTCTGGCACTCTGTCCTGTTTCCAAAATTGAGCATAAGTCATCCTTGCAGTTGTAATTAAATACCATAGCAATGTCTTTTTTGTCACATTAACTTCTTCCATTTTCAGACCCAGAAGCAAAATTTCTGGTTCTTTCTTAAATGTTGATTTCAGGATTTTCTGTATCTCAGCGTGGACCTCTGTCCAATATATCGCTGCTTTTTT